AGTGATGGCATCAGCGAGAGTTTGGACGTTTCGGCGCTTCAACTCTTGCTCAGCCCATCGTTGTAGTCCATCCATAAAGTAGAGGATCTGAGTCTTCTCCGACATCTCGGTCACCTCTAGCATGAGTGAAGTGAACTGTTTGATGTACTCGACTGACCCCGTATGCTTCAACCCACGCAGCTTCTTTATGGCTACCTCTTCCGAATTTTCTGGATAGAATTGCTTCTTGAGGTCGCTCTTGAACTCGTCCCAGGTGTTGAGTTGGACAACACCCTTCTTGATGTCGGTCTCGCGCCTTCTCCACCAAAGGATGACATCATCCCCCAAGTACATGGTAGCGGTGTTGATTTTTGATGCATCATCGTCCAAATGCATCGCGCCAAAGTACTTCTCGATGCTCCACAGGAAGTTCTCAAGCTCCTTATCATCGCGCCTTCCGTTGTACTTTGGCGGTTCGGGGACCTTCAACCTAGGTCCATCCCGAACAGCGGCACCCCCGGCCATTGCCGACTTGCACAACACCACGTCGGCGTGTAAGGACTCGATCTTCTCTTCCATCGAGCCGATCCTCTTTTCCACCGAGTCAATGGTGGACATGAGGAGATCCTTCAATTGGGCCATCTCTGCCCTAATATCTCCAGCAACTTGACTGACCAAGGACTGAGTCTCCACCTTCGCCTCTTCAGTCCCGGACTCAAGACCCTTGACCCTAGCCTCAACATCATCGTACTGTTCGTTGAGGTCATTAATGCTATCTCGGTGTTCCGAGATGGCCTAGACCATGCTAACCATCTTCTCCTCAAGCAAGGTGGTACGGCTAGCTTTCTTACTGGTGTTTCCCTCTTCCACAACGGATGCATGGGCATCGTCCTTTTGTGCCATACTCCTGACTTCCGCACTTAACTTCTAACAACAACTAGCACACGAACGCAACAGACCGCCCCTACGATCGACGTTGCTCTAATACCACGTGTCACGCGCTGACTAATTCCTTAGTCTTTTGCACGCGGCCTACTAGAGTCACCACCCGTTAGACTACTAGTCAAGGCTCCCAATTGCTTTAGCAAAGATAAATATTGATGTTGTTAGTTAAGTGTGGTTTGCTTTGGAAGCACAAGTGAGAATATATGAGAAAGCTTTAAGGAAGAAGGCTTTTTATAAATGCTTGAGAGAATACAAGTGTTTGTACATGAGTAAGAATGGGTGGGAGGTTTCCTATTTATAGGCACCATCCCTTTCTAGAGTGTTCTAACCTAGATGCTTCCTAACCTCCTCAAATGGAGGGTTCTAGAGAACTCTATACACTTTCTGATTACATAGGCTTATGTACAATATTCTAGAACCATCTACAAAGTTCTAGCATCTCAAGTATGTACAAGTTGTCCCTAGAGGCTTCTAGAGACCTCCGGATGCACCACGAACCTCTTCGTGCATTCTGGAAAGTTGTGGGCCCCATCTTCAAATTCTGGCTGCACCATCATCTTTATTGGGCCCAAAAACGATGGGCCACCAAGTTTGGGCTCATTTAGAGTCCATTAAGCCCGGCCCATGGCCCATTATTGTGTTACTGTCATGGGCGTGTTCACTAGGGTAAATGGCAGGGTGCTAAATAAAGCTCTATAGGGGGAAGGGTGTTCTGGCCTTGCTAGCCATGCACCGAGGGCATTCCCCCTGGCCACGATTATAACTTGCTGCCTTGAGGCCCTAGTGAGGGGTGGGAATATGTGAGTCGTGACATACCGCTTTGAAAGAAGTGAGTGATCCCTCTCAAGGATCACGAACGTTTAAGAAGAAGCAAGTGAGTCATTTCCTTCATTGTTAAAAGACTAAGCTAGTAATTTGTTCTGTCTCAATAAGCCGGGGAGGTTTTATTTGCTGTTCGTCTTTTCATTGGATTGCACGAAACTTTGTTTGTTTCTGCCTCTACTCATTTCCCACTCCCAAAAAGTCAAGGAAAGAGAGCATGGTGATGAGATTGTCATTGGGGATCAGAAATTTGCTCCAAATCCATTTATGATCCCAAGTTTCAAGACACAAAAACTCCCACGCCTTTCTTGATTGGAAAAAACCTAACCGGTGATTTTGGACAGGTAGGTGTGGTCTATCCATTTGTTACTCTTTTTGAGGACAAACCAATGGACCCTTCTCTGATTAGGACCATAAACTAGCTGAAATACTTTATAGGCGTCCCTGTTACCTTGCCTTGGAATAGAATCAAAGACACAAAGAGCATAGGGTGAGTGGAATATGTAGCGTAGGCGGTGGTCAACTTATCTTTCCGATAGTTGAAGGGAAGCTCGTTAGGTGAAAAAAGAGCAAGTAATCTTCCCTCATTCCCGAGTCTCATTAGCACAAAAGTGCCAGTTATTGGTGTCATACGCCTTCCAAATGTCTAATTTCAACCCAACGAATGTTACACTGCATCAGGCCCATCTCTCATCTTTTACGCTGGTTGAATGGATCATAGAAGGCCTAAGATGTACTTCCATTCCTTAGTTAAAAGATCTTGGCTTGCTTCCTTGTTCTTGGATACTGCTTAGTTAACTATTACGAATGTCAAGATAAGGGGAAATTCCATTTAAAATGGGAGTAGCGAAACTCATCTTCATTCCTATTACTGAGATCGAGCTATGAAAGACCTTCAAGGAACAAGACTACAGTATTTTTCTGGGCACCAACCTTTTCACAGGGTGCAAGGGTAATAAGTTGTCTATCCCGAGAAGATAAGCCTAGCCTCGCGTCCGGCTACGTAAGGTAGTGTACAAAGGCGCAAAGGCCTTAGAGAAGGAAGCGTTGATGTTGGTATTTTTGCGGCCCAGCCTTATTCCACTCCCCTAAAAAAAAATTGCTGGCAGAATGAACTACATGAATTGGTAGCCGACACTTAACCTTCCGCTTTACGTAGTATTTCAGAGTACGAGAGAGAACATATGCTAATCTTACTATGCTTATATTTTTACTACTAGTTATTCCATATGCCTTCGACCAATCAATCACTCCCTTAGGAGCCCATACCTAAGAAGAGTCAGCCTGTTAGAGTTTGCCTATACATGATTTCCCATAGTCACCCACAAATAGTACTAATGGCCCATACATGTTTCCCATAGTAGCAATGTTCCAAGAATGGATGTCCCTGATATTAAGACCTCCTTCATTCTATCTTCTTATTCTTCATTGGACGGTTTGGATGGACTTCGCCGTTCTTTCCCAACTAAAATAGAAAAGGCTGTATCACATCGAGATGTCAATTTGTTTTCTGCCCTCAATGAGATGGGAATTTTGAACTTCTTATTTATTAATATTTTTAAGCACTTTATCTTTCTAAATTGAGGCCGGCTCGCGTCGTTCCAACAACCGACGGGGAGCATCAGTATACGATCGTTCATAGTATCTGGGAGTCTTATTACATCTAAGGCTGACTAAAATCCACCAAACCAGGGTTCATCTCGTGTAGTGATTGTGGAATCGTACAAGGATATTGAATAGGCAGACGGTTAATGTATCAAATTCAACCTTATCTTTCGTAGCATGCATTCCCATTCATGTCACAGTATCCATTCACCAGAAAAGGAAGAGTCATTTCACTTAGCTAGTACAATTATAGATTTAGATCTCTATCATCCTCAAAAGCAGCAAGAAAGCATCCATCAATTCTCGCCAATCAACCCTATATATCAGTCTTAGGTATCAGGCTTCTTATCGTCTGTATTACTATTCTCTTCTAATGTATTGTTTGTTTCGTTGCTTTCTTCTTCGCTATCTAGCATCGTTCTTTCTTTAGTTGGCACTAAATCCTTACTTATTTAATCTTCCAGTGAAAGTAGCCTTTCAATCCTATCCTTCCTCTAGCAAAATCTCATCTATGGGTTTGACTCTCTAAATTCGCTCTCGTGTGAGGTTATCATAACTTTTAATCTATCTGCGGTCTTTAAAATCCTGATAGAGGAAAAATTCGGGGTCACTAGAGTTACTTGCGTTGGGTGTCTCGATTGAAAGAAAAGAGGTGATAACTCGCCAAGGCAGAAATGAAAAGAGTAGTGCCATTCAAAGCGGAATTCTATTGAGATGGTACGAATGGGGTGGATGTCACCTGCTCTATACTGAATAATGAGACTAAAGCACTACCATTACCACCTAGCGTAAAAGTTAACATAAAGAAGGGATGTAATACAATTTGAATAATGAGCAATATTAGCTGTTACATGTTTTTTTCCCTAATGCTTCGCACCAGTGGTATCATGTTTCAAAATAGCGGGCATTAAGCCGCCTTCTATCTTATTCTTCCAAAGGCTAGTTAACCAGAAAATTCGGAAATGAAAGAAGTCTACCGGAAGTCGTTGTTTTACCGGTTTGTCTGCATCCGATAATTAATTCTCTCTGACCATTAGAAATATTTAAGGTTTAAAAGTGGGAAAGAACTCAAAGCATTATAGGGAGCATAATAAGCAAACCCTCATTGACATGCTTTCTTAGCCACGTAATTAAAGAAAATAATTGGCAGAGACTGTAAAATGAGTTGTTTTATGTAAAATAAAGTCAGTAAATCTAGTTAAGTTATTAAATTAGAGGATGTCGTTGTGAGTGTGTGTAAAGTTAGTGGATCATAACGAGTAAGGTAAATATAATTTAATAATGGTTGTATCTTTTCATTGATGGCAATGTGTCTAATATTTTGAAACATCCAAACATGAAAAGTATGTCAATTATTCTGAAAAAAAGTGTACTCTTCCAACTATATATCACACAATAAAAAAAATAGATCAAATAAATTGCCTAGAAACTTGTGTCGGTTAAAGTTTGTCAAGTACATAGAAACAATGGAGAAAGTAGTTTCATCATTTTACTTTTTCCTCAAATCAAAGCTATATTCGAATAACAAGCCAATTTTTTTTTTTTTTTTTAATTTTTTTTAAGTTGCATATGGTTTGTCTGTATTAGTGCTCTTAATTCATATGAAATGTCATCTTTTAAAGCTTTTACTCATCTTGACCTCTCTATAGGGAAAACAAAAATCTCACAGGCACTGCTCGATATGCCAGTGTGAACACTCACCTTGGCGTAGGTAATTTTGCGAATTATTTCAATTATTTTTACCTTTTTTAATCAGAGATTTCTTATTAAAAATCTTAATATTTTTGTGTGGTTTATGCATAGAACAAAGTCGAAGGGATGATCTGGAGTCCCTTGGTTATGTACTTATGTATTTTTTGAGAGGAAGGTTGAAAAATTCATACTTTGGTCTTGCACCATTTTTTATTTCTTATTTTGTTGTTATACTTTTGAGTTAATATTTTTGGGTCGGTCTACCTTAAATTTTTCCATTTTTCGTTTGTTCTTCGTAGCCTTCCTTGGCAAGGACTAAAAGCAGGGACTAAGAAGCAAAAGTATGATAGAATTAGTGAGAAGAAGATGTTGACTCCTATAGAGGTTAATTTTGTTTACCTTGAAATAAACTTGAATACATATATGAGCTCATATCCATTGTACTTCTAATCATTCTATTTGGTGACATGAATCACACTTCATCTCTTGGACAAGTATAATGCATGTTTAGTGCATTGTAAGTATGAATTGAATCAAATAAAACCTTCTTGATTGTTTAACTTGGTTATAATATGTGCATATAATTATCTCGATCTTTATCTATTCACAGGTTGTATGTTGTGTTAAATTTTAGCCGTCCTATTATTTTACCAGCAATAATATCAAAATTTCCAGGTTAAATTATATATTTGTACTTTATTAAAAAATAATCAATGTTGATAACTATGAATCCAATATTTAAATGTGCTTGGGAGCAGTATGCTGGATAAAAATATATAGGATTTTACGCCTTTGAAGTTAAGGTGTGATTAATACTCTTTGGCACTTAGTATTAGAAGAACAAGTCTTGATAGGATATACCCTTGCTTGAGATATGTTTTTTAGATATGACACATAATGTCAAAAAAAAAAGTGAGGCATAATATTTACTATCTAAATATTGTGCTTTGAGTGAGACATATGTTGTTTTAGATGCGCTCAAAGGCTTCCTTGAAATGTTCCATCCTTACTGTAAGTTTTGAAGAGACTATTTTCATAGCTAACCACATTCTTGTCATTATCTTCCTTTACGACTATATATTATTGTATTAATTCTTACAGGGATGTCGTTTGAAGTCAACATCTAAGAGACTATTAAGGGTGTTTGGTCACCTTGAATTCTCAAGCCAACCATTAAGCATGAGTGCTACCTTGAAAGTACTATTTGTTGATTTTTTTTTTTATCTTTTATGATGATATATATTATAACTTATCTCCTAAGAGATCATGGTGGATGGTCATTTAATTCTCTTAAGCCAGCAACCTTAAAGTTGGATTAAGATTCACCAATTAGCTTTTTCTAAGAAAAATATTATTGACACACCATCCTCTCCACAAAAGGAAATGTTAATGTTAAGAGTTTTACATTAAGAATTTGCTTAAATTTTGATCTATTTGAATTTTCTAAAAAAATGAAAAACGATTTCAAAATTATCCAACTAGATAAAAGGCGAGAGAAAAATGAAAAACCATTTCAAACTTATCCAACTAGATAAAAGGTGAGATAAGAATCTCGCATGCGTAAGACTCTTTACCGATCAAGTTTTATTATCTTTCAATGCTTTTGTCATCAGGCAAAAGGCAAAGAGGATTAGATTTTAAGTAAATAGGGTTATTACATGTGCAAAAATAACCTATTGTGAGCTTGACGACTTGTATTTAACTTCTTCAGGTGTTTTAAAATACTATTTTGGATTAACTTATTCTTCTTGTTCCAAACATTACATCTAAATTTTTTAAGAACAAAAGAAATATATGAAGCAATCCTTAAGTATACAACATACTATAGGTTCCCTTCAATAGTTCACGAGATAAACTTTTGAGCCTTAGATCGCTAGTTATATATTTGACATTGTGTTTATTTTGTTTAGTTGTATCCAGTGGCGGATCCAGGATTTGATTAATAGGTGGTCCCATCATCGTCCATCGACCGCATAAAGTATCAAAAAAAAGTCAAAGGTATAATGAACAAAAAAAAAATTACATAAAAAAGTTCATTTCATAAAGTAATGCAAATTCGTATTACAACTAAAAAATTATTAATTTTATTACAATTGCTCTCGACGAGTTTTTCATATTTTGATAACGATTTACAATATCATCCATGCTAACATTCAAAAACAAATCTCTTTCTAAATAAGTAATCAAACAATCATTCAACATTTGATCTCCCATGCTATTACGCAATTTATCTTTCACTTGCGTCATTCCGGAAAATACTCTTTCTACACTTGCCGTTGCAACAGGAAGAATCAACACTAACTTCAAAAGTAAGTAGACTCGATCATGAGTTTCAAACTTTCCCGTCTCAACAAGTTTCGTAGAAAGTTCACTTAGACTTTTCAAATTCCAAAATCTCTCATCATTTCGAACATCAACAATAAAATTTTCAAGTGAATGTTCAAAAAATAATAACTCAGAGCTTGAAAATTCATCGGGATAAAATTTGGCAAGTTGAACTAAATTTCTTTTGTCAAAAGAATGAAATCGATTTGCAGGATTAAAGCAAGACATACACACAAGTAATTCCTTACTTACCTCGGGAAATCGATTTTCAAGTTCTTGTAATTGAAGATCAATGACACTTAGAAAAACTTCAACTCTAAAATGATGAAGATTAGTCACTTGTGGACCTTTACCTCTATACATTCTTCTCCCAGGAACCACATATCGCCCCTCCATGTTTGGAACCTCAATGCCATATTTAGCCATAAAAGAAGTGACTTTTTCCATATGTGAATCCCATCCTTCATCTCTCAATTTTTGCAAATTAGTCTTGGTTACATCAACCATGACCATTGCATTTACAATATCTTGATCATGTTTTTGCAATGCCACATTCAACGCATTTGTAATTCCAAATATATCAACCATCAAGTGTGCCACAAACACAAAATCAAATGACATCAACAAGTGTGTAATAGATTGTGCTTTATTCGAATCAAGTGTATCAGATACTTCTGCAATGGAATCAAGTGACAAAACTATTGAAGGATATAAATCAAGCACATTCAAAATGGTTTTAAAGTGAGATCCCCAACGAGTATCACAAGGTCTACATAAGCCACGTTCTTGATTCAAACCAGTTCCCGATTCAATTTCACCCAAAGATAATGCTTCTACAACCCCTTGACGTTGTTTTTCTCGAAGAAATTCTTTCCTCTTAGGTGAACCTCCCACAAAGTTCAAGAGAGGTGCAAGTACATCAACAAAAAGCCAACCACAATCTGAGTTTTTCTTAGCAAGTGCAACTTGTGTCAATTGAAGTTGATGAGCAAAGCAATGAACAAAGTATGCTTGAGAACATTCATTCAAAATTAGAGTTTTAAGGCCATTGATTGAACCTTGCATATTACTTGCCCCATCATAACCTTAACCTCGAACTTGAGAGAAAGTTAAAGAGTGTTCCATGAGTAATGACTCAATAGCAGCTTTGGGAGTCAAAGAACTAGTATCAGGAACATGCACAATACCAAGAAAACGCTCACACACTTCCCCCTTTTTATTAACAAATCTCAAACAAAGTGCCATTTGTTCCTTATCGAAAACATCGGCAGATTCATCAGCAAGAATAGCAAAAAATCCACCATCAAGTTCTTCCAATAATTGCAGACATTTTTAGGTACCTGCTGGAAAGACGGGTGGGCATAGTGGAGTTGGGCCATCTACTGAGAGAGCCAATAAACATTCAGGTCTAACAATGTTTTTGGAAACCTTAGTTTGTTGAATTCTTAACATATCCTCCCTTACTTTATTCTAGTTATTTTGACAGTGATACATATATATATATGCTATGTTCATAGGGAAAGAGGTTCGTGAAAAGTACACTAAGGATGTTGAACCTTTCTCAAGGAGAAATTCATCAGGTGGGTATGGCGAGTCATCAAAACAAAAATCGTCAGAGGTGGTGACATCCTCAAAAGATATGGTATGTCCTCGGATCCTTTACTTTAGTCTAATTCCCTTTTTCATCTTTCCTTTTCATTTCTTTTTATCTCTCGTAACTACAAGGCTAAAACATTGCTCTAGGTTGCATTGCGCTATACTTTTGTCGTTTAATTAAATTAGTGATTTTTTTTTGCAGGCTAATTCTGTTAGAGGCAACAATACATCGACTCGGCATAGCAACACATCAAGGAGGGTTGTTGCTTCTACCAACAAGGCTTGCTCTTCTAATGGAACTAGCGAGCGGTCAAGTCGCTTAGTCTCAAGAAGTGGGCGCCTATCCACCAGTCAAAGATTGAAATTTGGGTCTGAACCTAGTAGATTAGGAACCCCTTCTCGTCCCCAAAATTCAAATAAAGGAGGTGTTGTGCGACAGCGGAAGCAAAGGTCGAAAACAAACAAGAAAACAATAAAGAAATTCAATGCAAACAATAAGAACAACACCAAGAATTTACGTGGTTCACTATCGATGTGATAGCTACGTCCACGGGCACCGAGATCGAATGATTTCACTATAAACTGGCAAAGATTACAAAGATTACAATGAAGAACTTAATCACTCAAAGTATTCTCTCTCTTGTGTTTCTCTCTCCGTTTCCCTAATAATGATAATAGGAAGTTTATATAGTAGTGATTCCTAATTAAGATATACTTAGGTTACAATATCACAATATGATAAATATTAAATTCGTAATCGCTGAAAAAACCCAGATCGCCCGGTCGGGCGAAGGCCCGCCCGATCGGGCGCGAGAACACGTCTTTTCCAACAACCGAAGTACTCCAAAAAACCCCTTCCGCCCGGCCCGATCGGGCAATGTCCGCCCGATCGGGCGAAGGCTCGCCCGGTCGGGCGAAAGCTCGCCCGGTCGGGCGCGCGAGAGCAGCTTCTTCAACGAATTTGCCAGGCACCTCTTCTTTTTCCGCCCGGTCAGACCGGGCAATGTCCGCCCGATCGGGCGGACAAAGCTACGAAGTACGAGTCACCTAATATACTTATCAACAATCTCCACCTTGACGAGAACTCGTAGTCAGCAAACGACCCCATCAAGACATAGTGAAAAACATCTCAAGCCAAACCCGATGCAAGACTCATGCATAAGCCATACATCCCGATAAGTCTTCAACCAAGACCCATCACATACTCGTCTCCAAGTATAACAACTCATAATGCTCCACCTGCATCACAAGCCCCGGGCAAGCTCCACCTTAAGGCCAACACACCTACACCAGGAGCTCCCCAACTTCGCCCCTCAGGGCCTACTACATCACGTAGTAATCAATATTTAACAAGTCTAAGCAATGTTTAAACTTGCTAAACGGAACAGGCTTAGTGAAGAAATCAGCCGGGTTGTCAGCAGTCCCAATCTTCTTCACCTTAATCCTCTTGTCAGTACGTAAGAAATGATACCTGACATCAATGTGCTTCGTCCGATCATGGTGTACTTGATCTTTAGCTAAGCAAATCGCACTTAGACTATCACAATACACTGTAGCAAAATCCTGTGCAATACCCAGTTCACCTACTAGGCCTTTGAGCCAAATAGACTCCTTAGCTGCAGAAGTTAGAGCCATATACTCAGCTTCAGTAGTTGACAACGTAACTGATGACTGCAATGTAGACTTCCAACTAACCACAGAACCACCCAAAGTGAACACATAACCAGTCACAGACCTCCTGGTATCCACATCAGCTGCATAATCAGAATCACTGTACCCAGTGACCAAGCATTCCTTATCATTCCCGTACACAAGACCAATATCAGCTGTCCCTCTCAGGTAGCGAAAAATCCTTTTCACCCCTTGCCAGTGTTCCCTCCCAGGTCGAGCCATAAACCTGCTTACAACACTAACGGCATGCGCAATATCCGGCCTAGTACAGACCATAGCATACATCAAACAACCAACCGCATTTGCATATGGAACTCTAGACATATAAGACAACTCCTCCTCTGATTGAGGTGACATAGACAAAGACAACTTACAACTAACAGTAGTTGGCGTACTTATAGGCTTCGATTTTTCCATCCCAAAACGAGACAAAATCTTTTCAATGTAGCTTTTCTGAGTCAAGAAAAGCTTACCTCTAGCCCGATCCCTGTAGATCTCCATACCCAAAATCTTCCTAGCTGCACCCAAGTCTTTCATGTCAAACTCCGAGTTAAGCATCTCCTTTAATCTAGCAATATCAGATTTATTCTTTGTGGCAACCAACATGTCATCAACATATAACAAAAGATAAATCATGGAACCATTATCCAGCTTACTATGATACACACAGCAATCATATGAATTCCTGTCAAAACCTTGTGAAACCATAAAAGAATCAAACCTTTTGTACCACTGTCGGGGGGATTGCTTAAGTCCATACAATGACTTTAGCAATCTGCAGGCATAGTGTTCCTTTCCAGGAACTTCGAATCCTTCGGGCTGCTTCATCAGAATCTCCTCCTCCAAATCGCCATGAAGGAAAGCCGTTTTAACATCCAACTGCTCCAGCTCAAGATCAAAATGTGCTACAATTGACAATAACACACGGATAGAAGTATGTCGAACCACAGGTGAGAATATCTCAACAAAATCAACCCCTTCTACCTGACTGAACCCCTTAGCAACTAGCCTAGCCTTAAAACGTATTTGCTCAGTTTCCGACAACCCTTCTTTCTTCTTGTAAATCCATTTACAACCCACAAGCTTCCTCCCTTCCGGTACCTTTACCAGTTCCCACACTCTGTTCTTGTAAAGAGACTGCATCTCTTCACCCATTGCGGCAAGCCATTGCGCAGACTCACTACAACTAATTGCTTGTTTATATGTGGCAGGTTCAAATGACTCTACATCATCAGCTACACTCAATGCATAACCTGTCATCGCATCAACACAGCAATTTCTTCCCTCCATCTCTTCAATCAATCTAACAGGCTTCTTGATAACTCGTTTAGGCATCTCAAGAATGGTGTCAGGTTGACTAGATGACCCCTGATTAGATTGCTCCACCTCATCCCCAGAGTTAGAATGAGTAGGAGTAATCTCAGGTTCAGGAGTACCCGGCACTGGAACATCAGCATCATCATCAATATATTGTACCCGAGGTAAATCAGCAATGGTAGACTGATGTACCTCAAGTACCCCATCTGTCTGTAATAAATTGTCTCCTTCCCTTCTCAAATCTGAAATCTCTGCATTTTTAATTGAATACATGGTGTTTTCATCGAAAGTAACATCCCTACTAAGAATGACCCGACCCTCCGAAGGTGAAAAAATTCTAAACCCCTTCACACCATCCCCGTACCCAACAAAACACCCCTTCTTGGCTCGTGGATCCAGCTTACCCTCAATAACATGATAATAAGCAACACAACCAAAAATCTTCAAATTCGAAAAATTAGGCAACTTACCACTCCAGATCTCAAACGGAATTTTGGAATCAATTCCAGAATGAGGACCCCTATTAATGACATAACAAGCTGTTAACACAGCTTCACTCCAGTACCTCCTCCCAAGCCCTGCATTAGAGAGCATGCATCGGACTCTCTCTAGCAGTGTCTGATTAACCCGTTCTGCTACACCGTTCTGCTGTGGTGTCTTCCTGACAGTATGATGCCGACCTATACCCTCATCTGCACAGAACTGATTAAACTCGTCTTTGCAAAACTCTAGCCCATTGTCCGTTCGTAGCTTCTTGATCTTCCTTCCTTGTCGATTTTCCACCAAAGCTTTCCATTGCTTGAAAACTTTGAAGGCCTCATCCTTTGACTTAAGCAACCTAAGCCATGTGTATCGGGACTTGTCATCAACAAATGACACAAAATAGTGGTAACCTCCCATACCTTCAACTCTAGATGGACCCCAGCAATCTGAATGGATGTAATCGAGCACTGCATCAGTAATGTGAGCACCCTTGCTGAACTTTGACCTGTGTTTCTTACCAAACACACAATGCTCACAAAATTCAAGGTTGGCAACCTTGACCCCGGATAGAAGACCCCTCTTGGACAATAGCTGCATCCCCTTCTCCCCCATATGACCAAGCCTCATGTGCCAAATCTTAGTCATCTCCTGGTGAGATACAGATGCGCAAACCGCAGAACTAGGCAGTGTAACACCCTCAAAAACATAGAGGGTGTTCCTTTTGATACCCTTAAGTACCAACTCAGAACCTCTGAAAATACACAACTCCCCATCTGAAAACACACCATTGTACCCCAATTCATCCAGGGTACCCAATGAAATCAGATTCTTTCCTAAAGCAGGAACATGCCGTACATTAGTCAAAGTTAACCTCCGCCCATCAACAGTCCTCAACCTCATGGAACCAATACCTGTGACCTTACATGGAGCATTGTTACCGACTATAACCATACCCCCATTGCGAGGTTCATATGTATCAAACCAATCTCGACGTGGACACATATGGAACGAACACCCCGAATCTAGAACCCAGTTATCAGATAAATCATTAGACCTAGCAGAACTGACTAATGCTAAATCTTCCTCTGAATTATAGCTCTCATTCGGTTTCTCTTCAACTACAGCAGCCTGGGACTTGTTTTTCCTCACCGGACAATTATTCCTAAAGTGACCCGGTTCTTTACAGTAATAACATGTTTTAGTAGTAGTTTTACTAGATCCATCCTTGCCGTTTCCAGCACCCGACCCAGCATTGTTCCCCTTGTTAAACCCCTTATTCTTTTTAGACTTTCCGGACTTAACAAATAACCCACTACCATTATCCCCATTATCACTCGTAGCTTTCATTCTGAGTTCCCTAGTATGAAGTGCTGCCTTCACTTCTTCTAAGGTTATAGAATCCTTACCAACAACAAAAGACTCTACAAAATTCTCAAAGCTAGACGGTAGAGATACAAGTAAAATCAACGCAGCATCCTCATCATCAATTTTAACATCTAAATTACGTAAATCAAGCAAAATAGAGTTAAGTTTTTCTAGATGTTCCCGTAAGGAAGTACCTGACTGCATCCGGAGGCTAAACAACCGCTGTTTCAGTAATAATTTGTTGGTCAACGACTTAGTCATATACAATGACTCCAGCTTCAGCCACAATCCAGCCGCCGTTTCCTGATCAGCAACCTCCGTGATGATTTGATCATCAAGACTAAGTAATATGGTAGAGTGTGCCTTCTCTTCCATAACTTCTAACTGCGAGTCAGTCGGTCCGTCTCCTGACTCCGAAGTAGTACTCTTTGGAGCCAACGGACGCCATATCTGCTGTTGTTTTAACAGAGCCTTCATCTTAATTTGCCATAGCCCGAAACTATTTTTCCCGGTAAACTTCTCAATTCTTATTGTTGAATCTCCTGCCATTGTTATCTTCAAGAAACTCTCCAAGGATTGAACCTGAGCTCTTGATACCAATTGTTGTGCGACAGCGGAAGCAAAGGTCGAAAACAAACAAGAAAACAATAAAGAAATTCAATGCAAACAATAAGAACAACACCAAGAATTTACGTGGTTCACTATCGATGTGATAGCTACGTCCACGGGCACCGAGATCGAATGATTTCACTATAAACTGGCAAAGATTACAAAGATTACAATGAAGAACTTAATCACTCAAAGTATTCTCTCTCTTGTGTTTCTCTCTCCGTTTCCCTAATAATGATAATAGGAAGTTTATATAGTAGTGATTCCTAATTAAGATATACTTAGGTTACAATATCACAATATGATAAATATTAAATTCGTAATCGCTGAAAAAACCCAGATCGCCCGGTCGGGCGAAGGCCCGCCCGATCGGGCGCGAGAACACGTCTTTTCCAACAACCGAAGTACTCCAAAAAACCCCTTCCGCCCGGCCCGATCGGGCAATGTCCGCCCGATCGGGCGAAGGCTCGCCCGGTCGGGCGAAAGCTCGCCCGGTCGGGCGCGCGAGAGCAGCTTCTTCAACGAATTTGCCAGGCACCTCTTCTTTTTCCGCCCGGTCAGACCGGGCAATGTCCGCCCGATCGGGCGGACAAAGCTACGAAGTACGAGTCACCTAATATACTTATCAACAGGAGGTCTTGATGATGCTGTTAAAAGCTTTGATTTCCTCTCAATCGGCAGGGAAAAGATCCGAAAATGACTACTTCTCATTTTACGACAGGCTGAAAGCTAACTCTAAAGATTTTGGTTTCCAAACTAAATTCTTGGATTAAAATCTCATTATTTTCTGTGGAATTTGAATTTGATATATTGATGTGAGTCTAAGTTTTCAACAAGGATTCAATGAGTTATTGATTACTTCAAAAGTTGGAGGGGCAATATAACGTGGGCTCCATGTTGTGCCATGTAGTAATTTGTGCTCTGCTAAGCTTTGGTTGCAGCTTTGACTTCATTTTCCCCATTTTCCTTACGAAGGTTGTTGTACTTCTCTGTATCCTATTATGTAATTGTAAATTCTATCAAATGATTGTCTTTTTATTAATTACTAATTCGTATAAAATATCATATTAAGAAAAAAAGTAGGTGGTAATACTTCTTCCATATTTTATTCAACGAGTTTCTATTGTAAACTCTTCTTTTTATAGCAAATGTCAATTCCTGGTATGGTGTTTGCACTTTGTTCAAATCTCTTTATATTAGGTCTTTTTTTACTTTATCTTAATCCCACACCTTCCTATTACGTTTTAAAACATACTTGGAAAAATTGCTCGCAATGATCCGACCTCTGTCTTATCCGCCTAAAATAATTCGACCTTTAGATTATTTTTTAATGATTCGACCTTCATACCCAATTCGCTTTAAATGGTCCTAATTAACCAGTCATCCAACTTGTTATTACAAGTTACTAGACATGTGTCAGCCTATGATTAGTCAACAATTTTCTCATATTTGTTTGTTTAGTTCTGTGTTTATGCCTAGGGATTCTAGATCAGGTTACATTCCATTCGATCCTGAAATCGAATGATCTTTTCATAGACTAAAGAATTTTTACAGGCATATACGAGACACTTCTAGAGGTAATCCACCTTCGGAACTTCCATCTGATTCTAGCGATTCGGAAGCTTTTTCAGAACCTGAATCAGAGATGATGGCACCACCACCTCTCCACCTCGCAAGCTCAGCGATTATTCGCAGCCATCGCTGACAAATTTTCCAAACCTTACTCCTACTCTGGCCTTTGATGGAGTGCAATTTGAGATCAAGCCCCAATTTATCACGATGATAGAGAGGAAGCAACACAGTGGAGTTAAGGGTGAAGATCCTGATCTTCACATTGCAGATTTCTGCCAATATTGCAATACCATTAGGCAAGCTGGGGTCACGCAAGACCAAATCAGGGAGATTCTTTTTCCCTTTTCTTTATGTGGAAAGGCTAAATTATGGTTTAATGGTTTGAATAGAACTGCACTTGGTATTACTGACTGGGAAACTCTTGCTTTAAATTTTTATAATAAATATTACCCTACAGAGAGAACAACTTTACTAAGGAGTGCTATTTAAAATTTTGTCCAAGAGCCAAATGAAACTCTATATGAGGATTGGGAAAGGTTTAAGGATCTATAGAGAGAATGTCCCCACCATAATCTAGCACAATGGTAGTTGATCCAAGCCTTTTACTATGGACTTGGAAACTCATCTAGATCAATTCTAGATTTTGCAGCTAGTGGGAGATTCATGAACTTGTAGGAAATATTTCAATCATTACCCCAAACTTGAACCCCACTGTGATCATACAATTAAGCATAATAGCGTCCAAAGGGAAGGACGCTCTAGCAAAAGAGTCGCCAACAAGTTTTAGGAGCTTGTAAATCGTAATCCAGGAGATCGTTAACTCCAATAGGTCTGGAACCATGACTGGAAGTTCGGGAATGAAGGTACAAATCCAACCTAAAAGAGATTGAACTTGCCCTAATAATAGGCCTCTACTTTATTCTTCTCGTATTCATGTGCGCTTTCTGACTAACATGCAATCAATAGGTTTATCCTTAACCTGTTTAATCCATGTTGGTTGAATATTAATGCACAAACAAAACTATTATTGACGATCACTTGAATTATAATCATATTAACCCTAAACAAGATTATTAATTATCTTATTAAACGTGATTACAAGTACAAATTCCCTTTAAACATGCAATAAAATGTGTGATCAAGAAATAACAATAAATATAATCAAGCAACATAATCATAATCATAATCATAACAATCATCATAATCATTATAACAATCATAAGTATAATTATAATCAATCATGTTAAAGCATAATAATAGCAAGATCCTAGGCATGATACTAACAAGATTAATAACAAACCCTAGCATGTCACTAAACAATAAAAATCAAAGCTTTAGCCCTAACATGATACTAACATGAAAATTAGGAAAGAAAGTAGGAAGCACCGTAGGAATCACAATTGTCATGTTTGATATTATAACCTTTTCCCTAGATATGATACTAGGAAGATCAAAACACCCTAACATGACACTAGGAATCATAATAACAATCTAGACATGATTTCTATATCATAATAACAATGCAAATAATTAAAGCACTTACTTGGATGCCTCATATCTCTTTCTAATAACAAAATACACGTGTTAGTAACTTCAAAGAAAATATAAATTAAAACAATTAAATTAAATAATTGAAAGAGAGATTTGTGACCAAACCCTTAGAAATCAAACCTTTCACGTCTAGGGCGAAGTCAACTTCGAACTTGGCTAGGTGTGTCTAGATCTTGTGAATGCGGAATTTTGTATGCAAAAGGCTTGTTTAGAAAGAGAGAGAGAGAGAGAGAGTAATCAAGAGATTCTTGATGAGAGTTGGTGAGAATTAGATGGAGAAGAATTGATGATGTGAATAATTGATAATTATTTATGATTGTTAATTGATTGTTGATGGAAATTGATGATTAAAAACGAATGTCTAGGGACGCTATTTATAATGAAAATCAGCTGGATATGATAAAAAACGAATCAGAGTTTCGAAAAGAATAAAACACGACTGCAGCGTCAAACACGCGTCTGTCGCCAGATGCTGCAATCAGCTTTTCCACGCGTTTTCTTATTTTGATAAAATTTAAACGTACGAGAGGGTAAAACTATAATTTCCTTAAAAACACTTCTTTTATTCTAATTAAAACTCTAAAAAGTCAATTAAAGTCAATTTATCAATGCTAATCAAATTAGGAATGAAAAGAACCTTCTAGAAGATTCTAGAAGACTATAATCAATCCTAATCACATTAGAAATGATAAATCATAATAGGCCCTCCTCTAAATCATTGGGCCACACATAAATATCAAACCGAGCCCAGTTTAGTAATTTGGCCATAACTTCCTCATTATCACCGGAATTGGGCTTATAATATATCGTTGGAAAGCTCTTTTCGAACCGGACCCAACTACACTATTATTGGACCCTTTCCATGGACCAAACCAAACTGGAAATAGGTTTTCAAAAACATATCGAAAGAAAAGAAATAAAACTAACCGCAACACTAGACTTTCCACACTTTCACTTCATTCGATTATGATTCGATGTGAAAGGTACTCATCACTGGGTTTGGTTTTGGGGAGACACAAATGGGTGTCTACAGAACCTTAATGTTGAAAATGCTGGTCAAGTTATCGAAGACATGACAATTCATAATTCCCAATATGGGAATCCGAGAGGGTTTGCTAACAAAGAAAAACATAATGTTGATTTTGTATCCTTTTTGTAGGCTCAGTTAACATCTATTTTCCAGAACCTAGATAATCTTACTGCTATTCCTAACTCTGTAGCTAATGTTTCTGTTGTTGCTAATAATGAATCTTTTTGTGAAAATTGTGGAATTGTAGGACATTGGGAGCAAGATTGTAGGAGTCCCATGGAGCAAGTTAATGCCTTCCAAACCTATAGGCAAAATAACCCATACTTCGACACTTATAATCCTGGCCTCTGGAACCACCCATATCTTTCCTACTGGAGTACCAATGTACAAAACCCCCCATCTCCACAACAAAAACAACAACAACCACCACCACAACAAAAATATTACTATCCTAATTCTGGCCAGAAAAACCAATCACAACCCTCCTCATCTTCTAACCCTGCTATGTCAGAAATTAGAGTAATGTTATCAAGCATGAAAAAGCACATGGAGAGTAGGGATGCACAAATTGATTCGATTATAGCTCATAATAAAATCATGGACAATCAAATTGCGCAGATTTCATCTACCGTTCAAACCCGCCAGCAGGGAGCTCTACCATCGCAACCAATCCATCCTACAGATTATGCTAATGCAATTACTCTAAGGAGTGGTTCACACTATGATGGGCCTCCTATGCCCAATGATGATGAACCTATTGCTAATCCATATTCTATTGTACCAAATGCTAATCTTACTAACACTGTAGGGCTACAAAAGGAAATTAACCCTTCTAACGTTTCTTTGCAGGGTAAATCTCAAGACAAGGGTGGAGATGTGCAGATCCCAGTTATCAAACATCTATTCCCCAATAGACATTTGAAGAGTAAGTTTGATAAGTAATTCGGTAAGTTTTTGGAGGTTGTGAAAAATTTGCAGGTAACAATTACTGTCACCGATTTAATCACTCAGGTTCCTACATATGATAAATTTATGAAAGATATTTTGAATAGGAAAAGGGCCTTTGATGAGGTAGAAACTGTAGCTTTTACAAAGGAATGTAGTGCTTTACAAAATAAATCCTCTCCTAAATTAAAGGATCCTAGTTGTTTTCTATCCCTTGTCATATTGGTAATGTCTTCATATATAAAGCATTATGTGATTTGGGTGTTAGTGTTAGTATTATGCCATCGTCTGTGTGTGCTAAACTTAATTTGGGTGATTTTTTATCCCTATAGATTTTGTTGTTTTAGACATGGTTGGGGATACACAAATCCCCATTATATTAGGTAGGTGTAGGGAATATTTCAAGCATTACACCTAGCTTGAACCCCACTGTGATCATACACTAAAGTACGGTGGCGTCCAAAGGGAAAGAAGATAGAGCAAAAGAGTCGCCAACAAGTTTTAGGAACTTATAAACCGTTCATAGGGTGAAGGTTACACCCCTTAACGATCCATGATATCGTCAACTCCAATAGGTCTGGAACCATGACTGGTAGTTCGGGGATGAAGATACAAATCCAACCTAAAAGAGATTGAACCTGCCCTAATAATAGGCCTCTACTTTATTCTGATCGTATTCATGTGCGCTTTCTGACTAACATGCAACCAATAGGTTTATCCCTAAACCTGTTTAATCTATGTTGGTTGAATATTAATGCACAAGTAAAACTATTATTGACGATCACTTGAATTATAATCATATTATTAACCCTAAACAAGATTATTAATTATCTTATTAAGCGTGATTATAAGTACACATTCCCTTTAAACATGCATAAAGGCGTGATCAAGCAATAACAATAAAAATATATCAA